TGGGTCCTAATGCCCCAGTATAGTGATGGGGACATTATACTGTAAAAACATTAGGCTGATCTCTGGATAAGATTTACAACTGAGGTCCTGACTCTCCGTGGTCTCTAAAACTTCCAAGGTGAGTCTTGGAAAGGGTAGGTGTGTAACCCCTATGGCCTGGCCAAATTCCCCGTGGCCTTTATCAATCATGGCCTCCTAATAATCCCTATCTGTCTGTTGGCTTGATCGCTCTGCTCTCCTCTCCACTGAGAGCTGATGTGTGGTGAGCGTACTGGTGCACTATGGCTGCTGTTGCATCAACCATCCATCCATGTTTTCTAACTTCTTTATCCAATGTTGGGTCACAGGGGTGCCGGAGCCTACCCCGGCAAGCAACAGACCCAAGGCGTGGTACACCCTGGATGGAACGCCAGTCCATCGCAGCGCAGACAGACAAAAACACACACACACTCACACCAGGGCCAATTTTCTCAGAGACCTGGACGTTTGTCTTTAGAGTGTGGGAGGAAGCTGGAGCACCCAGAGGAAACTCGAACACGGGGAGAATATTTAAAGTCCACCCAAGGACCCAGTGCTGCAATGATTTTACATTTTTGTACTTGGTGTTACTGGTGTTACTGCATTTTGTGTGCAGCCAGTGTATGTTATGCAGTTATGAAGGAGCAAGCCTACCTGTTGTCAATTGATTTCTTGCATTGACACATAACAGTGCCCCCTGTGGCCAAGTGCCTGAAGTACAGACCACACCTGTGCTATGATCAGACTTATTTGGCTGGTAATTTGTGAACTATAATCCAGCATTATAATAAATAAATATGTGGAGGGCTTGAGAGCCCCCAAAATTTAGTTTCTTCTTTATCATTAGCAAATATGGGTGTATAAGAAACTGGATTTTTTAAATGAGAGATGAAATGTTTTAGTTCTAAAACACACACATAATAATTGCATTTCATACAGTGCTTTTTATCCCAAAGAGAATTAATTAAGAAACAAAACGTAGTGTAGTGCCTTATTTAACAGAAATACATTTGCCTTGCATTTTGCCAACATTGCTGTTAAATCTTTGTATGGATTGCCCACCATCAATTCAATTCAAAATATTTCTTATTTTGCTTATAGGATTGTGGGAATTATGTTTAAATATGAATGATCTGGTAGAAGGAAATAAAACTGTGTGTTCCAAATATGAATAGTGTGCCATGTGAAAAATATTTAAGAAAAGGAAAATTGATGGTAGTTACCAGTCTTTTTCTCATTTTAAGATTTTCTCATCTCTCTTCCGTTTTAGTTTGCCTGTTTTTTCTTCACTTTTTTCTTTCCCTCACTAATGTCTATAAAGATTTAGGTAAACAAGAACAACACAAGAGCAGTTATCAAAAACCTGACCAAATGGTTAGTATTACTTTCAGGTGACTGGAAAGATCAAAGCCTTTAAAACATCTAGTGTCAAATAAGGCTTTGACATGCATTGCCTCTGGTGTCATTAGTGTGTATGTGTATCAGATGTGAAATGCTGTACTGTTTAAAAGCAATTGGATTTTTTTAACAGAGTTTTTTTTTTATTGAGTTTATCCCTTGAGTGAAATTACCCATTGACCTATGGTCATGTGTGTTGTGAAGCTTTCATGTTAGGATTTAAATTATGTTTTTTATTACTTTTCTTCATTGGATTCCGTAAAGTCCTGAGTTGTAACAACATCTGTAGTTCGCGTGATGGTGTGTCAAGTCTTTCACATGGAGAAGGGCACTCAGCTAGCAGAACTAAACAGTCGCTGTCACGAGTGCTCCGACCGAAAACCTCGCAGACACCACAGGCACAAGTGACTTACAGTAAAGTTTCACACAAAAAAGACCCATACTGTTTTTTTTAATTGTGTTCTCTAAGCGCCGACTGTGGGCTGCAGTATAGATGCAAACCAAGTGGCAATAAAAGTATAATAAAATTTAAAAAAACACAACTTAATTTGAACTTCCTTTAAAGACACAGAGGCAAGGCAAATCATGCATTTCTTTTGTTTCTTGAGATGATCCTTCATGTCCTCTGGGATGCCAAAAGGGAAACTAAAGCAGAGGGCTTCCGTAAATCTTTTACTCTTAGTAAAAGGAATCCATTAAGGTTACAGACATCCATAGATTTCACCATAGGTAGTCAGAACGTGTTCGGGTCTTTTTTGAAGTTCAGATTCTGCCCATAAATTGATGAGATGTATAAGTCCCAAAAGAACTTATACAGTTCTTTCTACGTGAGGGGACAGATGGAACATTAGTATTTTAGGAACAAGTAAAAGTTTATTCCATGCTGATTAGAGAAGAAAGGAAACCCAACGAAGAAGGCTCCACAGCTGAAACGTTGTTTCCTCTCTTCTCTTTTCAGCAGGGAATAAATCTTGACTTGTTCCTTTGCAGCCTATGCACACTGGCGCAGCCACCTACTTGAACTCCTGCTAGTGTTTTATATTGCTTTATTATTAATCTGTGGCGTTGCTTTTAGGTAATAAACTGATTCTTTTAGTTTAGTTGTTTTCATTATGTACATGCCTTGCGAAAACACTGCTGACCAATAAATTCAAGTTTTGATGATGCAGGTGATGAATACCTTTGTTCAAATTAATTATTTTATTCAAAACTATAATCATCAAACTTTACACTGTTGTGTAAGCAAAACATTTAAGGAAAAAAACAACAAATTAAAATGTACTGGTTGCATTAGATACTAAGTCACCAAGTTAGTACTTAGACAAGGACCTTTGGCAGAAATTATGTTTTCTTGGTACTGTGGTGTCAATTTTGCCCTTTCTACCTGGTAAAATTACTTGTTTCGACAAGTTTTTCGAGGACTGTTGATGGGTTTTGACCTTCCATTCTTGCCATACATTTTCTATTCAGTAAAGTCATCAGGCCACTCAAGGACATACAGTACAGTCTTCTTGTGCAACCATTCCAGAGAGGCTTTTGCCTTCTGCTTCAGGTCTTTGTTCAGCTGAAATGTGAATTTTTGACCCAATTTTAATTTCTTGGCTGATACAGGCAGGTTTTCCCTTAACCTATACCCGCATTTTGCATCATCTGTTTTATCCCCAAACTTGACAGGTTTCCCAATCCATACAAATAAGAAGCATCTCCTTAAAATGGTGCTGTGACCACTATGCTTGACAGCTGGGATAGTGATGACTGTGTAATATGCAGTGTTAGGCTTGTACCAGATGTAACAGATTGCTTTTAGACCAAAATGTTCAAATATTGTCTCATCTGACCACAAAATCTTCTGCCTGCTTACAGCTTACATACAGGCCAGCTTTGTGTAAGGACTGGGATATTGCCTATATGTGAAAACTGACTAATTTTGCAAATGTCTCCAAGTCATTGTTGGCTTTAAAGTGGCAGTTTCTGCTTGCACAGCTGCTCAGTTTGGATCTTTGGCCTGATATCGGGCATATCTGGGTGGTTTAATGTATGTTTTACTTAGTGATGAGCAATGGCTTTGAAACATGTTTTTAACTTTCTCCTAATCTATACCTGTCTATCACTATATCCCTGACTTATTTGGAAAGCTCCTTGGTTTTTATGGTTGGTTAGACATATCACTATGTGAGTTGTGTCCTGCAATCAAACTGAGGGAGACATGCATTTTCTCTGAGCTTAAACCACTTTGATTGCATGCAGACAGAAACCATTACAGTAATCTTTTGACTAATCTTTTGCTCCTGAACTGATTCAGGGGTTGAATACTTTTGCAATTGCAAATCTTTGCATTTTCTCTAAAAAAGTATTTAGATGCTGTTTGTATTTTTAGCTTGATCAATCAGGAATACTGTATATTGTGTAGATTCTAAATATAAACTAACTGAAAGTGTAATGATTTCAAGTTCAGACATCAACAAAAAGTAGAATCTTTATGATTTGTTGAGTAATTTTGCAGGATACTGTGTATTTACTCTTCCAGCATTGTTAAGAGAATATCTCTGGGACAGGACATGTTTTTTCCTTCTTCCACAGATTTTGGACAAATCACCAAGTTTAGAATTTTAACCATAACCAATATAAATAGTAATATTTCACTTATCTTTGCTCTCTTTTCCCTCTCCGTGTTCAAGTAATAAAGATGACAGGAGTCTCCCTTCAACCCTTGAGCTGGTAAATCTGAAAGTACAATAATAAAGTCATTTTAAAGGGGTTTGAAATAATGAAGACCAGAGTGTAAATGGTTCTGCATCAGCCAGACTAAATCTTAAAAAAAACGAGAGAGAGATCAAACAGCTTGTGCAATTCAACTTGACTTTGATGTCTGTCTCTTTCATTCTTGCGATGGTTTAATTTTATTAGAGTCTTCCACTTAATGTTCTAAGGAGGGTTTGGCTCCCATTTCTGCAACCTCTTTTACACACAAACAATTTTGTGCTGTAAAATTGTCAGACCGTACTCTTGCTAAAATAAAGAAGTATTTATTTGCTTTTCTTTGCCGCTTTTCTCTTCTGGATACATTATCAGATATGCTTATCGTTTTCAAGATGTCATTTTCACTAATGTGTCACTGTAATCTACAAGAGGGTTCCTTGATACTTGTGTATGTAATAACAGCTGTTGTGATTTTCATCTAGTAACAAAGAAGAGGCAATTTTTTTGAAAGGCACATTTTTATGTGCTTTGCCAAGTGTTGGCCCCTGCTCATCTGTTATCAGCTTGAGCTCATTTAGTAAAGCTGATTAAGTTATGAACGTTAAAACAGATTTTTTAATTGGTTTCTGCAATCACAATTGGAGATGAAAAGCATTATAAAGAAGAGGAGGCCATTCTTTCCCTCTAGTCCATTTGCTGGTTAGAAGCTAATTGCATGCAGTCCTTCCTTGAAAGGAGACACAGGATCAGGTCAAACAACAAGGCTATTAGCTTGTGCAATACCCCCGCAGCCCTTTGTGTAAAGACATGCATCCTGTTATAAGTTTTAAATATACATCCCTGCAGCTGTACCTACCTTGTATTATGTTTCATGTTTCTTTGTTGATTCTGAAGTCCACTGGGTTGTCTTTGTCAGTGCCTTTGGGGATTTTGACTATTTTTTTTTATCTGTTCAAGACTAAAAATATTCCATGCTTTTCTTTTAGCCTGGATCTTGTCCCTGGTCAGTTAGGTTCTTTGCTTCTGAAAGGGTGAACGCAGGCTACACTTAGAATCCGCTTGGCATCATAGGGGAGTCCTGTCCTGGCATTCTCTGCCCTCATCTTTTAGTACTGCAGTTGTCATATCAACCTGCAGAGACATTAACGGTAAAACTGAAAGCAAACCTATCATGCTTTTAAAACATCTTATTGCCTCAAGCCGATTTAGCCAAAGCTAATATGAGACAGGTGGTTTTATTTTAATGTACCTTAAGTGCATATAACACAAGAGAGGATGATGGATTCTGAGAAATGAAAAAAGGATATGTTGATTGGAGAAAGATACTTGGCTAGATTCACAACATAGTTTGGCATGCGATTGCAATAATTAATTTTCACTTTCACATTTTTGTGTATTTTATTTTACGATTTGATGGTTGATATACAGCACGCTTCTGGGGTGTCCTGGCTGAGGCCCGGCTCGTGACTAAGTCCTGGATCTGAATCCCTTTCCTGTTGTTCCTCCCTTTCCAAAGCAAGAAAACCCCCACTCTGCTCACCATGGTGGTCCAGGGAAGGTAGAGTAGCTGAGCCCATGACCATGTGGGCTGGAATCTCAGATCCCGCCGAGACCTAAACCATCATCCTCTGGATAGCCGCCTAGCAGTTAAAACAGCTCACCACAAATATGCATGCAATGCTAATCTGGGCATGGTTAACCTCCACTGATTAAATTAAATCCCAGCTGCTGGTGTGCAACAGGTACACTCGACGGTAATTGACAGAGGGCACGCTTTTCCAACACCAAGTGATAAAGACAAACAAAACATGTTTTCTGTTTGTATTGTAGCAACCACATAAAAAAAAGAGAAATAACCCCAAAGTAAAGTGATGTTAATCAGTAAATAATTCGCTCTGCTGAATTCTGGGGAGATGGTACTGTACATGTTTACTGTATGCTTGAATTCAAATAACAATGGTTATGTCATGATCACTGTTTTGATCTTTCCAGGATCTCTTCACCATATCATGCATAGTGGGCAAGTTACCTTTAATTTTTTTTTTTCAGCATGGTCTTTATTACCATTGAAGACGTTTATTAAGTCGTTGCTTTTTTTGGCTGTTGCTGAATGTGCTGACATTGTACTGGTTCTGTTTTGTCTCTGTAGTCGGTGCTTTGAGAGAGTTTGTGAAGAAGCACTTGGAGGATCCACAGCTCCGCTTCTACTTGTGTAAGTACAAACAAGCCCATAAATAAAAAGAGGACAAGGCTTCACTTTATTGTCACCCGAGAGGATGTTAGACCCTTTATAAGTTATACTGCTTTGGAATCACTGTAGAATTCTCATGTTTAAGCCCAAATAAATTAGACATTAATTACATGCACTTTGCTCGGAAAAGTGTTGGATGTTCCCATATGAGAAATATGAGTCACTGAGTTCAACAGTGAATTATAATGACGGAGGATGGGAATGAAAGTGTCTGTTTCCAAGGCAGACATGTTGTCAACCAGGCTAAAAGCGACAGACGTGCTATTATATTTAACTGAAGCCAACCACAGAGGAGTACATCGCATTCTTTTGAAACAAAAAACAGGATAAAGAATAAATTAGCCTTAAATCTCTTACAGTAAGTTAAAAAAGGGTTGGGTTACCAGCAATGTTTTAATTAAGTTTAACATTTGTTTTAAAGAAATCAAGAAGAGTAAAATTGTCATTGGAACCAAATGCTGGGATACACTTCACGAAACATTTTAGTTAATCCTCTTTCACGTACATAGTTTTAATATGTCTGTTTTCTTTGATCAAATACAAATTGCCTGCCCAGACTCTGATGACAATTACTGATGTGAAAGCCAAATAAAAACACAACAACTGCCCAGTCCCTTTTCAGTGCCTGAATGTTATTGCTTTCTCTTGCACTGTTTTAGTCATCTCTGTAGTAGTACAGTTTGTTCTGAAACTCAGGGATAAAGTGCCTTACTGTTACTACTTTGAATACCAACTTTCCTTGGTAAAAAATATGCAGAAGTTATAATTCCACACGACACATCTTTAAACCTTCCTTAAAGCCTGTCTTTTTGCTTTATGTTTTAGTTAAAATTAGTCAATTTACTGTACTGTTTTACTTCTGTTAAGTATATTATAATTTTTTAGAAATATTTTGAAATCATTCAGTAATCTGAAATAAAAATGTATCTTTATCATCTTTACATTACATCAATTCATTTGGCTGTCACCTACTGTACAATCACATCTGGTCAGGATGCAAAGGGATAGATTATGGTAGCATAAAACCACAGAAAACAGCTCAGCATTAAGTACTAAGCAGTATTATCACTTAGCACATTAAATACTGTTTTCAAGCATTTAAAAAGTAATTAAATTAAAAGTAAAAGGATGCCAACTTAAACAGACATGAGTTCTGCCCAGAAATGTCAGTCTTTGCAGCTAGCTGTTCTTCATGGGTGTGTAAAATTTATCATTGTAAAATAAACATTTCCTTTAATTATTTTGAATCCCATGATTTTTAAAGGCACAAGCTTTCAAGACTTTAAAAGTTACTCATTTAGCTATAAGTAAAAATTTGATGACCAACAATAGGAAGAAATAATTGAGTATTTGTATTTAATGTACAAGCGGGAAAAAGTTTTTCTTATTTTCTCTGTATTTGTATTATTTGATTATTCATTCCCATTTAGTTATTACTCCTCCAAAAACCAATTTGGATGACCCTGCCACCACACTTTTTCAGGTAAGGAAGATATCTATAAGTGCTTTATTTCACGATATATATCTTCATATTTCACGATATGCATCTCAATTATCATGTTAATGCTCATGCTCATTTGTGGTTTATGTTTTCAACAACTCCTGAAGAGCTGTCACTCAGTGAGAGTCTATTTCCTTCTAAAAAATGTTCAAAACAAATCCCAAATAAGATTATGTTCTTTAGGGACACCATACTGGTCTTTATAGATATGTGCCAAAACTGGAGTTATGCATTATTATTAATCTTTTGGCTGCATTTTTTCAGTAGAGGCAATGGAACTTATTACGCTAATAATTCTGTTAAGACTTTGGGCTTGCTTAAATTAAAAAATGACATTCAGTTACTGCCACATTCCTTTCCATCAGAATGGATTTATTAAGGCAGATATCAGCACAGAAATCTCTTCGAGGACTTGTATGTGGATTTTAGTTTTGATGTTAACCTTAAGACGGTGTCTTCTTCTGGCTTATTTGCTAAAAACAAGTGAAGGGCTCTCATTGTATGCCACTGAGCCTTAGGCAGGCATTGAAGGAGGGGAGAAGTGGCATTAGGCATTGCAGAGAGTCAAAGCTTTTCTTTGGCACACACTGTACAAGACCTCAAACTGGCGATACAAATGGGGAGGCATTCTGAAGGGGATTGGCGCAAATAGCCGCAGCTTTATTTTTGCGAGTTTGCAAACTGGGATTTAGAAGAAACTCTGTTCTCTTACCCAACCTTCCTATGTTGTAAATGGTGAACAAAGAAAAACTCAAGCCTTTCTTTTGGTCTCATATCTATCTGTGCATCTGACAAGTTTGTCTAGTATATACCCAGCAGCCCTCATATCCAGGAGTTCCTCCAAAGTGGTTCTGAGCCAAAGTGTTTTCCTTTGAATCCTGTACAGAATTAGCGAATGTGCTGTGGATTGCATCTGGACCGTGGTCTCTGACTTACTGACTAGCCTCAGGTGTTCGGAGATCTTTCTTCCATAATTATTTAGTCAGCAGGCATTCTTTGAGTTTCCTGTACGATTTTGTTCTTTTATGTACTTTTTTGGATGGCCAGTGGAAGGGGTTCACCCATTATCATTTATGCTGAAGAGCCTGGCAATGTAGTGCCGGAACTGGAGAACAATGCACCCTCCCACTTTACACCCTTAGAAGAGGAAAACAGCAGAAAAAGTAGACTTGCTTTGTTGGCTTGCTTTGGCCACAGTATCATCACTCCCATCATGCAACAGTGACCTTCCCACCCCTCACCAGGTGCCCCACAGCTCACCAGGCACCTGTACACTTGCAATGTTGTCAGTGAGGCCAGGGTCAGTGTCTGTAATGCTCTCTCTAGGTTCTGGTAATGCTGTTAGGAAGCACCGCATCAGTGTCTGTAATGCTCTCTCGCAGTTCTTGCAGTGCAGAGAGCATCGCATCAGCACCTGTGATCATAAAGTGGCAGTTCATGCGATGAATGAAAACTTGAACGGTTCTCATTCGACTTGTACTGGTGCACCGGTTTTAATTGCCAGGTGAAGTGTTAAACAATAGGCAGTATTAAGGACTTAAAATATTAAAATAATCCTTAACCCCAAATTTGAATCAAAATTCGTAGTTAACTAATTAACATGCAAGATTTGGAAAAGTAAGTGGCAGGGAAAACCACTCGTTACCTCTATGAACTGGGCTCACTTTCACTATTTTGCATCTTCACTCTATACATTGGTATTCAAAACAAGACCTTGCTGACAGCCCCCCCCCCTCCCCAAGTAAAAATGGGATGACACTCATTGAGACAGGGGGACTGAAAAGTATTATCCGTGGTTATGTGGCTTAGCCCTCAAAGTATTGCTTGAAGGCAGTTATTTAAGTTCACTCACAATTCGTATATTGCTTCCAAACATCTATTCAAAATGACAGCAGTATACTGACGTCAGAGCCCGAGATGTTTTGTTAGAAAACCAAACCCCAATTTTTTTTTTCCTGGAAGCTCACCCTTTATCTGAAGCAGTGAGCTTTTTTTTTTCTTTTGCTAGACATAATGTCTTCCCGATGAAGGATGGTCTGCTTCACTCTTCAAAGGCACTTAAGATGTATAATTAATAACAGAAATCAGTAATTTGAAATTATAGCAGAAAGCACCCCGATCCCTTTGAACTGTTCAAATTTCCACTCCCTAAGGATGATTCATATTCCCTTAATTGCACAGGATTAAAAGAGGGTGGAGCCAGTTCCAAAAACAAACAAAAAATCCAATGAATACCCACAGACCTTCAAAAAAAACAACAATATATTAAATCTTTTCTTTTCTACAGTAGCTTAATATTCCAAACTCCTTCCCATTCTCCTGTGCCAAATCCTATTAGTGCCCATGAGTGGTCTGGGGGAGTATTTATGAGCCTGCGCTGTAAATAACTAACAGACTCACTTTCACCAGAGCACTCTGTCAGCTGTCCCCCTTAATCAGACAATCAGTCAGTCAATCAACTCTTTAATAAACACACACCCATCACAAGACTCTTTGGTAATTTTGTCATGACTTTCATTGGAAGAAACTAATACATTTTTAAAAAAAAATTATGTCCCTAAACAAGCCACTGCAGCATATACATGTTTAAACCGTGCCTGTCAGAAGTCTACACATTATTGAGTTTGGCATGCTGATGACAGCACTACAGTGGCCTAAAAGAACAATATCCCAGACACTCTGGGGTTCATTGAAGTATTAAACTGAAGCTTTCATCTCTTCTCTTCACTGCATGATTAGCACTCCTTTTTTCTGATTCCCGTCATGTTTTTATTCAGTCATTTCTTAGGAAAAAGGTGTTTGAAAAAAATATAATTACTAGATAAGTACTTAAAACAACACATTTCTGTTTAAATAAACATTAAGGGTTTTTGACTTGGCAAGCTTATTAGACACACAAGAAATGAGAAGGGCAGTGTTTCGAGCAGAAGCTGATCATTTGAAAACTTTCTGCAGTTTTTAAAAAATGTGTCTCTTCTGGTGAAGAGTGCGTTAAAGCCAAGGACTTGTAGCTTGAGAGCTTGTGAGCACTGGAAGTGAGTTCAGGCCCTCTATTTCGTCATTCTCACCCAGATACTCACAGCCCTCTTATACACTGTCCTGCATGGAGAGTGCATAACTCCACAGGCAAAAACAAAATAAAATACTGTTTGTCCCTTGACCTATTGCGTTTGTGAACTGTCATTTCAGAGGGTTTATGAATACCAGAGCATGCAATGGCATTCTTGCTTTTCAGCCACTTGGGTGGTCTGGACAACAAGCTTTTCTATGATTCTGGGATCATTGTTTGATTATGAATAAATATGACTTTGTGTCCTCCTATAGAATTGTATTTAAAATTCTGAAAAGTTTCAGACATGCCTGGCAACACCGGCGCACCCCTTTTCTTTTGATTGCCAAAATAATCAAATTTTTGGATTTTCTCAGAAGGTTAAGGCATGATAGCTATTCTTTCCATTCTACCTGATTACAAAGATACTTTTCCTGAACACAGCAAAATATATCGAATCGAAGAAAGCTAAAAGAAAAAACAAATAATTCTCCCATATCTTCAATATGTTATGGGGTCCAAAGGTGCCGCTGTGTCTTGTAGTTTCTTTTGTATTATTTTAGGCTTCTGCAAGTGAATTTAAAACTTATTGCAAGATGATTAATGAACACTTACATTAATTTATAAAGGACATTTTAGTTGTGGTGATTGTTTCTTTACTTCAGAGATGACACACAGATTTGGCAGGAGATAAATTAATGCTCTACTTCACCCTTGAGACCCTGTAGTGAAAATACACCCATTATCCAATGGCAAATGAAATAAAGAAGAATGTATTTCATTTTTAAGGCCTGTCATGGGCAAGCACTACAGCCCTTGTGGAAAAATTGACCAGTTAACAGCTTGCACACACTAAAAAGCAAATCTCTTATGAAGGGCTGGACATGAACCTATAACAATAATTGTGGAAATGGCCATATCCAAATGTTTCCTTAACCGTTATTAATAATTCATATGATTTCCATGGCTGAACTTCTCAAGAACCTTGCCCTTTTTAGTAGAGCCTGTTTAAATATTAAACCTTGTGTTTGGTGACAGGTACCCTCTAGACTGGTTAGAGTTCCCATTCCAAAAAAGCTCTGTTTTCAGTTTTTCCAGTGTTGTGTGTGTGTGTGTGTATATATATATTTTTGTTTTGCTTTCTGAAAAAAATGATCAGCTTCCAACACAATGTCAATCCCTTGTCTGCCAGTGACACAACACACGCGCTTGCTGTTTTTAATGTGGCTCTGCTTAGCTAGGTTTTAGAAAGGGAGAATTGCACTGTGGTAGAGAAGACAGTTGGCTTATCCATTGCATTCACACCTTGACTGATCTCTGGAGTCTCAGGGTGTTTGAAATTGTGTGGCACGGTCTGGTCCCTTGATCATAGTTACATTGAATATTATTATTTTACCAAGGTCCATTTTAAGGGATTCATTAACGATCATTGACATTATTTTTGCATGTTTCTTTTAACACATTTCTGTTGTTTTCCCATTTTATTCACAAAATATCTTGTTCTATTTCAACTGGCATATTTCCAGAAACATTCTCCAAAACCCCTCTTCGTGATAACGAATGATGTGGCTGTGAGTGTGGTGGAGTTAAGTTTTTGGAAATTTATGATCTCTAATACCCTTGAATGGGACATGAATATCACCAGTATTACAAAGAAAGCACAGAAGGGAATGTGCTCTTTGCGCCGTTGGTGTCTCTCAGCCAATTCTGATACAGTTTTGCAGAGCCATCTTTCAGAGCTGACTGCCTCTATAACTGTTCGGCCTGGTAACGCACCTGCCTGCTCCAAAGGCAAACCGCAGTGTGTTATTTGCTCTGCAGAGAGAGTCACTGGCTGTCACCTGCCCTCCACTGATGATCTGTACAATTCCAGAGCAAAGAAGCAGGCAGGAAAGATTGCTGATTACCCCTCCCACACAGGTGACCACCTGCT